TTGCCATTTGCCTAAAAAACACAAAAATTCAAATTATATCATGTGAAGCCAGCAAGTATTGTTGATACCCCACTGTATCTGTATTCTAGCATTCAAAATATGAAAAATATAATCATTTCGTTTGAATAGCACCATATTTTTGCCTATATTTCATTGAATTCAATACATAAACGCTTTACACGCTTTTTTAAGTGTATATAAGGTCATATTTTCTAGTAAAAGCCGTCGAAAACCATGTGGTTCTTTACTAATTTGTATACATATTTGTATCCCGTACAGCCGTACTGCATGATGTTGCTTCACAGCAACGATTAATAATGCATTATTTTCGTCAAAATAAATCGCAAAATCTGTCCAAAGAGTATTCAAGATACATCAATATACTATTAAATATAATATTTCAAAATAAAACTCAAGTAAAACACAGCTTACCTTAGTGTTTAATTACATTGAAGTTTGAGCGTCGTGACAGTCCGCCATTTTACAGCGTGGTCGAAGAAAATTTATTCAGAATACTTTGTATAAGCAAAATATAGCTATCCCTGCATGCATAATAAATTGTTAGATGCTTCTCTTGAACCTACAGGGGACCCACGATGATAACAGCTAATTGCCGAATTTTAATTAAATTATGAAAGATTGTTGCTCAGGAGCAACACTGTGCAGGAAAGGGTTAATCTTTCATTTAAAATGCTAAAAGTCATTTTAGCTGAACTACAGGGTGTATCAAAAAAAACGCAACCACTTAATATTCATGAATATCCTCTTTGTTCTACAACACAAACGACGTTTGGCCCCTGGAATGCGAGAAAGCTTATAATCATATTCTAGCGGCACAATCGTCGGTAAACAAAGTCGGGTGCGTAAACCAACGAGCTGAATTGAAAGTATTTAACGAGTAAAATTTTATTTACAATTTATTTTACAAGGTCGACAGTTAGCATTCAAGTTATCATGCACGACAATAAAAACTCGTTGTTCAGTTGTTAGCTGCACCATTATTAGTTTAGCTGATTTGACCATTAGCAGTTGAACTGTACGATTAGAAGCCATTTTAAAATCCCAGGGGCATAAAATCTATTGAGCTTATGAACAATATGAATTTTAGAATATTAAGTGGTTGCGTTTTTTTTTATACACCCTGTACTGTATGGTGCAAACCCCAACAATATTAATATTCTTGCATATTTAAGTGTTGCGTTTTTTTTTAGACACCCTGTATGAAGCGCTGGTTTGTCATTAGGGAGATTTAGCATGAGGAGGTGAACGTCAAAGACGTAGAAATAGCGAAAAAATGGCGTGATGCGCCCAAATATATTATGGACATACCACGCCATTCATTCGCCTTTTTCACGTCGTCTTTGACTTCATGCTAAATCTCCCTACTCAACTCAGCCGTCGGATTCGGTTGATAACCACAAACGTTAACTTTATAATTCTCCATATCATGTTCAATAATTGTTTATTATTAGTTCATCGGTATGTGTGTTCCAGATCTGTCCGAGAACGCGAGAGCTTGCTTCGTTCACTGTGTCATATCCTTGAGCCGCATCTGAAGTGCAATTAGCGAAATCAACAGATGCTTCCGCTTTAGAAAATGTGGAGTTCTGCTAAAGCTTTTCAATCAATTCTTGGGAATTAATTTTCCACTTCCGCATGTTGAACCCTCCGTCCGATAGCCGGGTTTTTACCCTTGTTGAAAGTTGCACTGCATATCACACATCTCGCGAACTCTCCCGGACTCTGGGTCCATGATTGCATATCGGTTAATGCATGTGATGGTTTAAAGTGGTATTTAGAATGAATGGGCTTGATGAGAATTTAGAATGAATGGGCTTGGACCGAAAACTGTAAATCGTAACAATTGAATCTGGGGAGCTTTACTCGACGGCTCATCAACCAATAGAAATCTCAGGTAGTCACGAAATCTCAGGTAGTCAGGGTGCTCTGGTGCTATGGCGATATTCTGAAAGGCTTTCTCCATGTCTGCTGTCACCGCCACAGGATGAATTCGGAATCGAGTAATATTCAAATAACGAACGATTATAACCGTGCAAAGTTGCAAAGTATAAACAAACCGTTACACCTCTGATTGGGGGGAAGTTCTCGCTTATGTGTTAAGCAAGTGCAACACTGATACGTCCGTTAGTCAATTTAGAATTGGGCGACTCTGTTAGCAGCAAAAAAGCTGATTTATCAAGAGAGCACATAACCAACAGAAATATTTTGTCTATAACACCAAACATAAAATTATGCACAGGCAAAAGGGACTATGTCTATGATCGATGATTCACAGTCGTCGGGAGATTAATGGTGTAAGTGGGGGGCCAACATAAAGGCAATCATTCAGGCTAGGACCGATTTTCTTTGCCGACGCATCATACACGACTCTTTGCCTAGTCGTGTCTTTATCATTCCTTACAACTTCCTTGTATAGCAAATAATGAACAACTCCGGGTGACTCCCATCAACTTCTTCGACCAGTTCAACTACTACAGTGTTAAGTTGATCTTGGATAACCCTGTGATATTCCTGCAAAACAGTTAGTGATGCATGTCATCGATTAATCAAGGATCCTAATTGCTTCACGGCAAATGCTGTAGTTGTCTGGAAAGAGTGAGCGTTCATCCTTGAGAGGCAGTTTTTCTTCATACCGGTCCCCATTGAAATGTCATATTATTGGGATATACCAATCTTTCCCCCAATGCATTGCCGCCCTCTGGTAGTTTGCATTTCATCTTCCATGGCTGTTGTTGGCCCCCGTAAGCAAAGGGCAGGGAGTGGCAGCTGTGGAGCTGCCTCTGTGGTTCTGGTGCCCCTGCTACGTTTCGCTACAATACGGTTGAAGTGGAAAACAGCCTTTAGGCTGATGACGAAGTAGAATTTGACGTCTCTGAAACGGGACTAGTTTCGGTTTTCTCTTTGTTTGTTTATATGCAGCGTGGTCAGATACAATTAATTAACCTGTTTTCAGTCGCATGTAAACTCATCAATGGAGTAAGTAATATCTCTTAACATTATATTCCTTGTATATGTCGAATTATTGCTAGGATAAGAATGTCCTAAACTGTGATAGTGCATGGCTCAGGTAAATTAATAATGTGATGGTGCATCTTTAAAACACAAGATGGGAATAGATTGAATTCCGGAAAATCATTCCAACCGTCCTAATCCATTATCTCAGTTGGAAGAGCACTGGGCTAGCAAACCAAAGGTCGCGGGTTCGATTCCTACCTGGGTCGAGCTAACTTTTAAGCTAGCTGGTCTGGTAGAGTAGCATAATCGCATTAAGTTACATTTGGGGTAAACGAGATTTACAGTACTCGTCAGCTGATCTCTAAGGCCTGTTTTCCACTTCAACCGTATCGTAGCGTAACGTAGCGTATTTCTTTGTTTCCGAAGTATTCGACCAGAATTAATGACTTTAAAACAATGAGATACACTACGTTTCGCTACGATACGGTTGAAGTGGAAAACGGCCGTAAACGGTAGCTGAATGCAACGTTACATGTTTCATCTGAAAAGCGAATTAATTTGAAAGATGAATTTGCGTATGATTTTGACATGCTTTCAGTGCAGGTCGTGGTCAGGTTTTGTACTCGCACGAGCTTCGGCATGCATAGGTCTACACCCTTCCCTGTGCTTAATTCGCTAACTTCAGTTTCCCCCTCTTATACCAATGTATTTCGCGATTATATATTAGGTACAGGCGGGTCGAAGTTCCTGTGAGGATCGTCCCTAGCGAATCCATAAGTGACGCTTATCTTGAAGCTTTGGAACAATCGTTCCTGATATAATTATTAGGACAGGTATTATAAATAGCAAATCAGTTATACTGATCATGAATTTTACTGTTTTTTATATCAAGAGAGAGCATACCTGTCCTGTACCTTTATAAATTTTTAGGTATAACATATAAACATAATATATAATAAGCCTTGGTAAAAATTGCTGTTCTCAATAACAAGCATCCGCCATCTTGTTTTTGAAATTTCATTAACATCTAATGCCTCCAAAGCCTTTCCGAAGCCAGGGTAGACGTTTTAAATCCAACATCAGTATGGTGCTCCCCCATTTTTTGTATAATAGTTTGTGGTTAATGGTTAATCTAGGAAGTACCGGAGAAATATTTTTATTAATATACTTTCGACAAAGGCGAGCTGATGGATGTTTTCAAGTTGTATCAACACGTTCGGCTTCAACCAGTTGCCTCAACTTCAGAACAACCATGTTCCTTTGATACACCACAACATTGTTTAGTGTTGTTTTCATCAATCGGGAACAACCTGATCAATTCGCATGAAGTTTTTTTTGAGATCGCAAGATTCAGTAAGCGTGAAAGCGAAATTTGTTTGAGATGAGAACATTTTAGCAAGACTCTTTATCAAATCCTAGCCACACTAAAAATTGACCGGGTTAAAACTTTTGAAAGAAGTATGCAATAATTATACTGAAAGCTCATTCCATAACCATAAGTCACATACCTTTGCAAGTGATATGTGCTTCCAATGTCCTTGATTAAATTATTGTCGTTATTGTAGTTTTCACGAAGTCATGTGCATGTTGTCCACTAATGCACCCACTTGAAAACAGATTGGATAGAAATGAGAGGAAGACCAAAGAACTTTTGAGGGAGAAAGAGGAATTAGAGCGAAGACTCACATATTTAACTCAATATTAGACTCCAATTCGGAAATATTAAAGATGGCAAACGTCAATAATGTTCAAATTGGTATATCAACCTACGCATACTTCCAACGTCCTTAAAAAACCTAATGGATCACGAATAAAGAAACGTTTTGTACTGGCTATATGAATTTGTCATATTGTAATATTTAACGTAATACAACACATTACACCATAAACTCCTGGAGCAGTATATCAAATATCTCATAAAGATTAATGTGCTCGGCAACTGTCTAAAAGTAAACTAGGAGATGTCGTTCTTCGACAGTTAAAAAAGTGAAGAAAATTTTTTAATAAATATTTGATGAGAACATTTACTCAGGAAATTAATTATTCACATAGATCTTCAGGCCATGAACACCAACGTTATCTTGCTATTCCAACAATATACACCATTGATTTCTTTGGGTTTTCTCCCAAAATATTTAATGAAATTAAGCAATAATGTTTGATTGCATATTTGAAATATGGTAGTGGTGCAGATGCTGGTGCACGCGAATCTTATATATCTTTGACGCCGGTTGTGTGAAGGCTTGAAAAGCGAAGAAAAACTACAAGGGGGACCAAGTGTTTATACGGGTAAACTACACTTTGTTCTTAAGAATTCGAAGGTTTACTTCCAGTTACACTACTTCGGTTATATAACTATATACATATAACATATACAACTACTAACGTGCAATTTCAGTGTAAAAAAATGTGTAAATACTTTTCCTGTGCTACGCAGATCACTATTCAAATCTCACACAACCGGCGGCTGTTCAGTATCGTCTCCATAAAACGATAAATGGAAAGACCGTATAACAATATGGACGAAATGTTTCGATTCACAAGAGTTTTTCTCTGTTCATTATACAATTAACAATTGCGCTGAATGTAATTCCAGCCTCTTACCTTAGGTATGAAGAGTTGGCTTTTAGAGAAATTAAAATTCATCACGTCCTCTTAACTGAGATAAACAATTTTAGCTGCGATTTTAGATGCAATTTTCGTCTTTCAATATAGATGTAACTCAGTAGATAAGTTACGACGGATGTTCCTTACACATCGGACAATCCATAACTACTGACTCACAAAACATCATTAAAAAGAATAAAATCACACCGAAAATCGCAGGTAAAATTTGCAAGAGTAGACCGGCATTCAGACGACGGACAGGTTGCCCTGTGGTCCTCCTCTTATGAATATCAATGACGAGTCCAGGCCAAAGGAACCATTATACCAGTAATTTCACAGCGTGTTGGTATGTACCCACTATCTCACGGACTTGACGCCCTTGAAGCACTCTTCTGAAAGTAGCGCACTCGAAACAACTTACGACGCATCCTTCCCAGAACCATCCGTCAAACTTTCTTTCCTTCCACGATGGTGATCGTTCTGGATTTTGCGCAATATTCTGATGAGAGACTTAAGCCCAAATATGTACCCTTTATCCGGACACGTGACGCAGCACGACTTGTCCGCGTGACTGTCGTCGCGTGACACGTGCTGAAAATCGATCATGCGAATGTCCAACTGTTCGCTAGTGCATTCGCACGTGCACTGTTCCAAAGACGTGTCGTGCGTGGAATGGTGGTTCGAGGTGTTCGTGAAACAATCCGATTCGTTACGTTTCGAGTACCCAGCTACCTCACCCTCGTAAACGAGCAGCAGCGAGCTGTTGTAGAAACGATACGAGCACAAGTCCTTCTCCATGACGTCCAAGACGTTTTTAAGTTTTTGGATGAAGCAACTAATAAGCGCGCAGCGAAACGTCTCGCCATTATCGAAAAACATCCTCAAGGCTTTCTCGAAACCATGTTCCGACAGCTTCCTACCATCATTGTTGTTCATGTAAAAACACTTTCCACAGTCAACGTGATATACCTAAAAAAACAAAACATATAGCTTAATTAAGGCCCTAACACTCGGCGCAATTTTTTATGCAACTTTGCATTGCAATTTTACTTTTGAGATATGTAAACTTGCAATTACGAAACTTACGAAAACGGTAAATTACTGATAATTAATTCCTGTATTATGTATAAATAGGAAAAATTACCAAAAAGAGATTTTTAAAGTCTTAGTTTTATTTAACCATGGGCGTCAATCGAACGTTAATTGAGGGGATCATATTAATGTATTCTGCTATGCCAGGCTGATTTCTATATTGAAACTTGAAAGTGAAATTGTTTTCAAAAGAAATTAACATGCATGAATACGGTCCCCCTCAATTAACGTTCGATTGACTAATGATTGTAACCCAATAGTCAGTGATACTGTAAGCATTTCTGCTACTAATGTAATCAGGGAAAATTGGATTGACTAACCCCCACTTCCGAGACCAACTCCTAGTTTACCACAATATCAGATTTTCCTCTTGTAAGAGATGTGAATGAATGGATAAGTTGCAAGTGATCAATTGTCAAGGTATAAATCAATGCACTCATAATTACTCCCTCTTACTTTCTACAAAAAAGAAATCATAATTCAAAGATACTGTACCTTCATCCCACCTAAACGAACACCGAGGGTTCTCGCGGTAGTTTTTTCCCACTTGCTTCTCCTCCGTTTCATTTCCTCCTCGCTTGTCTTCGAGTCGCTGTGGATCTGAGTTCCCATTTTAAGATCAAGAATCGAAGGAGAATGATACCGAGAAATGACATTTTCAAGAATCAGAAATTCTAAAAATGATGCCAAGACGAAGAGTATTACATTTGCTGTCTACATTTGTCCTTTTTAAGTGCGATGTTTTCTGCCGATTTCAAAAACATGAGGCATGAATGCAAATGCGCCTCTGAGGCCTAAAATAACGACTTGAACTTGCTTTTCACACATGCCTTTAAGACTACGTTTACACAGCTCCGGAGCGAGAAAGTGACGGCAGAATTTGACTGCGTTTACACTGCTCCGTTTGAATTCCGATACTGTCTCGTTAGCGTTTACACAAAAGCGTTCTTCGCTGTCAACATTCGTAAGTTCTTCGCGGGAAATTGCGCCATTTCTTTCTGAAACATTGCTTGACGTTTATATCTGTAGTCGTGGGTGGCAAAAACAATGAAAATAATACGGCCGATAGCGAGAAAGGTGCTTGTTGATAAATTGTTGGAGAATTGTTCGCTATATTGAATTACGGCAACAACGCGCCAGGCATTGTGGCGGAGTGGTATCTAAAGTGTAGCGGAATATTAACGGTGTAGTGTTTACACAACGCCATGTAGCGCTCCGTTTTCGTTCGACCACATTTAGAAAGTGTGGTCATTTCGCTACGGCAAAGGTGACGTTTTCGAACAAATCCGCTCCGGCGCAGTGTAAATGCAACCCCGTTTTGATACTTTTTTGCACCGTTTTCAGACCGATCTGGAGTAGTGTAAACGTAGTCTAAGATATAAGGCAAATGATTCAAATGGAATTCAAGGCCTGTATATCAGTATATGTAGCACTGGGCTGCACTTACGACGCTGGGAATGACAAGATGAAGTTGGACCACGTAAATGTGGACGATCTTTTTCTTCATCAACATCACATGGATTCTGAATGTCATCTATGCAAAGAAGATGAAATAACCTTTATTAATAAGCTAAATTCAGACATTTTGCATTCTTCATCCATTGTTTAGGTTTCAAATCAAATGGTATTAAACAACCAGTGATGAACACTGGGAATAATCATTCCTTTCCCAAAGACATTCTTGGATTGTGTGAAGGAACAAAAATATCATGACAGACGTAACTAGCATGAATATTTAAACAAGACAGTTGACATCACTTTGAAATTGAGTTGATATATCATTGTAAACATGTCGCCTCATTTTTAAGCTGATCAAATTTTGGGTTTACAACATGAGATGTTATTCTTGTATTTTATTAAAGTGTCTATGTTTATCCTGAAACATTTCATACTTCCAGTAAATAGCTCATTTTCACATTTGGATATTAAGGTTGTCCATGTCAATATACATTGAAAATATATAAATATCAGTCACATAACCATTAAACATGGGTTATCTAATTTGTTTTAATGATAACATATGTAATAATGATCCAATATATGTATATATCCAATTAGTTTCACACAACTTTTCTGCTGTTTGTATAAATACATTTTAATTGTAATTTTGCTAAAGTCAATAGTTGTGATATACAGTGCTGTATATTTGATATTTTCATTTTGATAAATGAATTTTTTTTCAATACTGCAACAGCCTGGTAGGAAGCTTATTTTCCTTAACACCATAGTGTAAACATTATCAACTTTTGCATTATTATGATTGCTTACCATCTGATCCAGAAAGGTCCTTTGAAATATCATCACTTACAAAATGGACAGGGCCATTTGGATGAATTATTAGACTAGGTTCCCCTTCATAGTCTTCTTTTATTTCCGCTGTAACCACACCTAGAATATGAATTAAATATGCATGCACATTTCACCAATTTATACATTGCAATATGCATCTAGCTACAGTAGTGCATGACCCAATTGACTTGAAATAATGAAATATTTTAGGATTATGTTATTCTTTTTCACAGTTTTTGTCTTCTTTTGCTAAACAGAAGACCAATATATCCCTGGTAGAAATCTTAATTAGGATCTTACAGGATCCTGTAAGATCTTGCAAGATCTTATTTAGGAACAAGATCTTAATTAAGATCCTGTAGGATCTTATTTAAGAAAAACTGGTGGGATAGGATCTTAAAACATAGTAAGATCTTACCTAGGATCCTAAGACTATACTTAGGATCCTAAAACGATACTTAGGATCCTAAGACTATACTCAGGATCCTAAAACAGAACTTAGGATCCTAAGACTATACCCAGGATCCTAAAACAGAACTTAGGATCCTAACACTATAAACAGGATCCTAAAACTATACCTAGGATACCCAACCCCACACTTAGGATCCTAACACTATACACACAGGTCCTAACCAACTATACTTTAGGATTCCAATATGCTTAGGATCCTAAAATGTTAATAAGGATTCCAATCACGCATTAATTTTAAAGTAAAATTTCGAATTTGAAGTTTGGACAAATCCTAATATGAAATGATAAGAATTTTCAGTTGTATGTGCGATACTAAAATTTTCCCACAACATTATCTAATATCTTGACTACTTTGAATCCTATATAAGATTTACTCAGGATCTTATTATTTCCCGTAAGATTCACTAAGAAATTGTTTTAAGATTTACAGTAATAAGATCTTCGATTTTCATATAAGATCCTACTATTTCCAAGATTATATTTAGTAATAAAATCTTCATATTTCTTCAAATCTTAATAAAGATCCATAGAATTTACAGATCCTATAGAATATTCTATTGTACATTCACATGAAATATCCAATAACATATTCCATAGAACATACTGTACACAGTATTCTATAGAATGTTATTATATAATATGCGAATAATGCGATATTATATAATATGCCTGTTCGCAGGTTAGATTGCGGGAATTGCGGGCGTTTTGCCCAAACAAGACCGCAAGGTTATGTGGGACTTCTCACGCATTATTTTCAAATTTTGAGCGCGTCTTTGTCATCCGTTCAACGTTTTATAAAGATATTAGATATTAGGTAGAATTTAGTGAGTTTTTCTTTCGTATTTTAACATAAATACGCATTATTTGAATTTGTCAATGAAAAGTCATGCGAAATTGGTGAAGCACGCTGGAGAAGATCCGGATAATTTTGTAAATGGTGACTGGGATCGTCAATCGTGAGAAAGAATTAATTGTGTCATGGCTATGATAAATTTCTAAAGTTAATAAGAAAATAATCAAAGGTTCCATTGACTATTCCACAATTTCAACAACAACATGTGTAGCTAAAGCATTTGAATTCAGTGGTTACTGGTGAGTGTGTTTGTATATGCTATATGTTTATATTAAAAATATTAACTATTTTTCAGAATTCAGATCAGACTTTATTAATTAAATATAAAATGCGCTCTATGCATCAAGCTAGCTGGCCTTCAAGTGCAATAATAAATAGCAATTAGTATTATTCTATTTACGATTATTATCAACTGCAAATCATGCTACTTCTGGTGAATCATATATATAATATAATATAATTAAACAGTTTAGGGTTATAACCTCAATTGGCAGGCAACATATGTTGTCTACCCTTGTATTAAATATAATCCTTAATTTTTATAAACTTTTTATTACCAAGTAAAAAAATTTCTGTCAAGGCATTTGCAGTGCCTTGACTATCAATTGTCATTCTAAGAGTGAATAAGGTGTCAACTCACTGTCAAGTGTTTAATTTTTGTATTTATACTGTTAGAATTTACAGATTTCCTATGTCCAAACATCATACTAACCAAGGCTTCAAATGCCTTCAAATGACAGGATGCAAAACCCCAATTCAACCCAGAGAAATCTAAGAGTATATCTGGTAAGCAGTAATTGTTAGTATCTAAATATGTGTGGAAGGTAATATATCTTATATATTACATATCTTGGTTCAGTTATTGTAGACTTTTTCTTTGTGTAGAGTATGGTGCAAAAAGGTTTGGGTAGAAAGAGGCTGAAATACAACAAGTTATGGCAACAAGGATTATAAATATTGTGAAAGTCGAGAAAGCCAAGTTGAAAGCTTCTGGACATCAGTAACTATATGACATTCCATTTTCTAATATATTTAACATGTATGGTACTATACAAATATATGTAAATATATTTAGTATATAAATATAGCCTAGTCATATTTTTCCTATTTTCTTGCACAGTCATTTTATTTGGTGGAAAAACTGCACTATAGTAATTATTTCACTGCTTTAAGATTGATCCAGTTATCTAGCTAGAAAATATCTTGCAATTACCTAGTGCATAATATTTCAATTCAATCCTTCTTAAAATGTGTGAAATATAATTTTGACTAATTGCACACCATTTAAGCTAGATCGACAGCCTTCAAACAACCACCTCTAGTTATTTTATCCACGAAACAAAATGATTATTTGATAGACTTACCAGAACTAGAGTGCTACATGCAAATTAAAGTTATATGGACACATCTAACATTAGTTTTGATTTTGTGCATATATGTGCAAGCATTGATACTTATCTATATATAGAAACTTAATAAATTATACAAACTTTGTGAATTAGTTTATAATGAGAATAAAACTATCGAAATAAGATTTTTGAAAAGAATTACGATCAATGAACACTTTTATTCCAAAGGATCCTATAAGGACATCCTATAGAGATTTGAATATTCTAGAGAATATTCATTTAAACATTCCATAGAATAATGAATATAAATATTATGTAAGATCCTATTTCAAAACCTTTAAGATCTTATTAGGATCTTGTAAGATTTATGTAAGATCCTATATAGGATTATTTAAGATTTTATTAGGATCCTATAAGATTTACGTAAGATCTTATTTAAGATTCTTTAAGATCTTATTAGGATCTTATAAGATATATGTAAGATCTTATGTAAGATTCATTAGGATCCTATCAGATTTTTTAAGATCTTATTAAAGATCCTATAAGATCTTAAAGGATCCTATAGGATCCTACAGGATCTTACATAGGATCTTACAAGATCTTATATAAGATCCTACAAGATCTTATAAGATCTTATAAGATCTTACAGGATCCTATGTTAAGATCCTAATAAGATCTTAATTAGGATCTTAATAAGATCTTACTTAAGATCTTACTTAAGATTTCTACCAGGGATATGTTTTTATGTCACATTGTCTGGCAAAAACCTATGCCTTCACCCTTCAGCTATGGTGATTTTTTTCTACTTGTTACTCAGATCACAAGTACATTGGTCTACATTACTATATCCAAGTGCATGGGTCTGATATTATATTAAGCTTGCATGGCAAATACCATCCAAAAGATTAGTTAATAAACTAGGCAACAAAATGCAAGCCTGACACTTGCAGTTTTCACTGGCACGTTTTTCACTACGAAATTACTGTAAATATAACCATGGTTATTATACCTGAGTATACTGTATGTAAAATTAATGTAATGTAGCTACAAAATTATTAGGCAAAAACGTCGAGGCCTATTTTAGGCGGTCGTTAATATTTATATTATATAACAGTTGATAAGAGGTTGTTATTTGAAGACGCTTCTCAGTGATTTCTGGTTATTTTTACTCGTTACTTTACGTTTATAGCTACAATATAAAGCTTTCGTTACTTTACGTTTATAGCTACAATATAAAGTTCAAAATTATCCGAAGCTCATGTTGCTGCAGCTTCGATTCCGCAACGAAACTTCGCCTCACCTTTAAATTGGGGGATGAACGGTTTCAATGCTGAAGGAATTTCTTGATAAAACTTCAATTCCTTTGAGAACAACGGCTTACATACAGTATGATTGTCGAACTGTTGAAAGTTCGAATGGCCTCCGACTTGGTGGGCGAATGGCCGAAGTGAGACTTGGTTTTTCGTGTCTCCCATTACTTTAATATTCGGATTAAAGCAGGTTCTATCGCTCCATCTCTTCTCTGCTTAATAATTGAAATAGGTTTAACATTTATTTGTCGAATAATATTTAATTTCCAACGTCTTGTTTATCGCCTATCGGCTTGTTGTAATTCATTTAGATCATATGACATGGCAATGCATGACAGTTAGTCTCCAGGCCAGCAGAGCATACAGGAGGGGGAAAATAACCCGGACAACCGTTTCGCTTTTAGACATTTATTCATTTTATCATTTTTATGGTTATACGTACTATTGTCAAATTTGTAAAAAAAAAATTTTGAGCTTCGTTAACCTTTTTTTAAAATACTGCACTTGTAGAACTTGTATGCTTTTATTAATAATAGTTAATAGCATATTTTGAAAGAAAATCTCTCATTGTAAATGTGGAACACAGATACCCCCGGGATATCAATAATTACGTAATCGTTTTGAACAATGGATTGTGGGTTTGTAAGATGGCGCAAATCAGAGGAGGCTTGTAAATAAATACTGTGACAACTGCAAAAGAAATACAAGAATCTGCTGCTAGTTTCTCTACGATCTGATTCGATTTCTGAAATTTGAACTGTGAAGGAAGATGCCAAAAGTCCATTACCTGAACACAATAAGAACCTTTGATAACGACGGATTCAAAAAAAGGGCTGGTTGTCTGTGTTTTCGGACCGAGGCAGAGAACGAGGTACTATTTACTTACTACCATGTATATACACGTTACTGTAATACATTTAATGTGGTCTGTCGTTAAACACAGAATAACATCATGCTTAGGTTACCTAGTGCTTAATTTCACCTATTTCACTTTTCGCGCATTAGAAATCCTCTGTGATTTAGACGGTTTCTCGTACTATTCAAAAAAGTCTATTCGAGAACAAGCATTTCCTGACGACTGACACTTCTTAAACTTAAAATTTCGTCAGATATTTATGTTAAATATACATTGTACACATAAAGTGTTGACCGTGACAAAGAAGACTGATGGAATAAAAGAATTAGCTCAGTGTGAAAAATTGATGCATATATCACTGTGAAATTCGTGTATATTACAACCTTACGGTACTTTAGAAATAGCTGAGACAGGATGTGACTTTCAATGATTAAATTCGTGTTTAATGCCAGGCTTCGAATGTACAAAACAGATTCATTATCTGTCGCAGTGTCGCTCTTATTGCTTTTGAAATCACAAGAAATTCACTTTGTTTGATACAGTCCAGAACTTTCCAAGATTTTAATGCAATATTTAAATACCATTAGCCTACTCATTCATGCATACATGCATGTATTGTTTGGACAAAATTTTAATATAAAGTATTTCATATGTATGTATTTTTTTTTAATTCATAATATGTGTTAAGGTGTACCAAATTTGTGAACTCAATAACATCTTCAACACATTTCACATATCGCCATGAGTTATTTTAATTACCTTAATTAACTTGCATCTAATTATGTGCCCTTGTTTAATTAAAAATTTGCTTGGAAACTTTTGACAAATCATAAAGTTTATAATTGATTGAAGTCTTGATGATGTTGGACTATAATAATACTTCTTGACCACTTTAGTAGCTAACTGTCCCAGGAAATAAGACCAGTGGTGAATTATTTTCTGAATATTTATAGTATCTGCTGAACAATTTTGAGCTAAAATATAGCAATGTTGTTACTGTAGACAACTTTTAATCACCTTTATCATAGGTTCTATTGGTGTCTAGTTCAAAAACACCTGATAAGTGGGTTGTGCCAAGTGGTGGTGTTGAACCAGATGAAGATTTTGCAACTGCTGCCTTACGGGAAGTTGCTGAGGAGGTTTGTCATTTTTCATGCATTTTGCTTGCTTGCACTTTGAGAGTGGGGTAGGTTTGGAATATACCTTTATACAAGTGTTTTCTATAAGGAACATTGCTCCTGGGGTTGTATAGGAGAAAGCACAGTGTCTTCACAGTGACTTTGGTGCCTACAATATCCCAAAGGAAATCATGTGTCATACTGAAGTTGATTTGTATTGCTTAAAAATATCTGTTGTTTTATAGGCTGGCGTGAAGGGAAATCTAGGTCGATTCCTTGGCACGTTTGAGGTACTAACTGCCTTAGTTATTACACAAATACAGTGTATATACACATTAAGATTTCTCACTTTGCTGCTATGGGTTTATAGTAGTAGTAAATTAGTTCCAACGAATTTACCTATTTGTTAAAGTTGTAATTTGCTATGGGGAATAGCTGGACAGAATTTATGCTATTTTAGCATATTCCATTCTATATGAAGTCTACTTGGTAATTCTAAAACCCTGCTGATTCTGGTGATATTTTTTCTTTATTAAAAATGCCAGAAAAACAACAATGAAATAAGACAAATGATATTGGAGAAGGGGGGCTTTCTGATCATGTTTGATGTTTATACTGTTTTTCTTCACTTGCCTTTCAATATGTGTCATCATGGCTTTCCTCAATTCGTGCACTTATCAGATTGCACCTATATTGCTTTCGTGTGTTAACAATAGAAAATTTACGTGGTTTATAAGTTCGGTAAACATCAAAGAGTTGCCAATGTGATGTTCACCTGATCTCCAATTCTTCCGAATGGTGCGCAGATCTGATGCCTCCCATCACTGTATTATTATCGCCGCTTTATTTGCATGGCACAAATCAATATGTTCACTCGCTGTGAATTCTTTTCAGTAATATTCCGCTCCCAAACTATGTTTCCTATTTAATATCATGCAACATTCATGGCAAACAAGAGGAAACATGGTGCAGCAAAGAACAAAATTTTGTTATCCCTACTGACATTTAAGCTGCGGAACGAGACAACAAAATTACGGTGATTTTGGAAAATGCATGACTTCGAAATATCATCGTAAACTTGCTGTTTTGTTCTAAGCTCAAGATGTTGATCTTCATCTTTCCCGGTTTTTAATAAATTGTATTCTGGGCAAAGCCATAGTAGTTAGTAGTTTTTCCATTGTAAGTAGCCTGGGCCTGTCTGGCTACGTGTCAGAAACAGCATGAACGAGCGAGGTTTTCGGAAACGGAAGGAAATGTCCGTCAAAAGGGAACGAACCTCTTGTGTCGTTAGAAAATTCACGAATCTGTTATCATTCAGGGGCCCGTTGTATCAAGCCGTTTAGCTTAAACGGTGGATAAGTTCAAAATAGAAAGCAAGTTTGCCGTTTTATTCAACAAGCGAACTAAATGTTTTTGACCTTAACACAAAGATACTGTTTACAACTCAGTTTACAGGCTCATTCAAGAGAGTTGTAAGAGTGTTATTTAATTTTGACTTATCCACCGTTTAAGCTAAACTGGCTTGATACAACCGGCCCCTGATCGCTCAAGATAATATACCCGTTACATAGCTATCTAGTCATAAGTGCGCTACAGTGTGCCGTATAATAGCTACATCTGTGTTTAATTCCAGAACGACAAGCGAAAACATCGAACAGCTGTATATGTCCTTATAGTCACAGAAGAATGCGAAGATTGGTACGAGGGCAAATGTGGTGAGAACCGAACTGCAGATACATAAATCATGCTTTGACCTCTATAAAGATCGGAGCGAAAACTTCAGGTCTATTTTGAATGGGATGTGTTTTACGTTCTTTTCTTTCCTCAGCTATATATTCTTAGATTTAAGAAGTAAAACATCCTTTTTCAACGCATGCGTGGAATTTATTTGGCTATATATAGCTATTTCAATTAAGCTTTTCCGAGACAACTAATGAGAATAGTCATTGTTTTCAACATTATTATTAATAGCATATCAATAGCGCCGTGGGAAACTTTTGTGACGACAGTTCGAAATGCAACTTGTTTGCATAACTCCGTTTGCAATACGAGTTTTTACTAAAAAATATTTCCCACAAGTCTACTGATGTACTAAACGTATTGAAAAGTACGATTATTCCACATTGTACTGTTCGACTATTGACATAAACGACCTTTACTGACATATACAGCCGCATACAAATATCTCGTGCATGTATGTGTTCCGTGATGTGTTGAAGAAGGATGTTTTGCTGACAAATGTCTCGTGCATGTATCTGTTGAAGAAGGATGTTTTGCTTCAATGCACATGGTCCGTGACACTTAAACTTGAAATCCACTTCATTTAAGGTAATTTTAAGTTGAAAACAATGATATTGTGAAAGATTTAATTACAAGAAATTCCCTACACGATCGAGTACCACTTGTATGCTAATTTGCATTTCACAGGCTTGGTATGGTTGAACTTGATGAGAATTATAATTTTTTTGAAAGTGCTTGAAGAAACTTGGTTTATTACATGCAAGTCAATTCGTTAACTATTCGAATTGAAATATTCGTATGAATGTGAGCGATTTTATAAGACCGTTAAGAGAATACGGCCAAAACCTTAAGCAGTTGACTTCTAAATTTGGCAGTTTGCAGAAATGCCTGTGTCATTTCGTCGGTAATTTCTAGTAATGTGAAAACTTTGTACTGTAAGTGCCGGAAACGTCTATATTTCTTTAGTATACATCGACCATTGTCTATTACAAATCCTACATTCTGATTGGCTGCTCAACCATTGTCTATTCGTGATGGTGAACCTTTGGTAAAAATTCGCTCGCGCGACCGTATAAAATTGAATTAGCCTTTCTCACGATGACGTTTTTGGGGTACTTTCAATTTTTTCAAACGGGTTTTAAAAGTTATAACAACATGAAAAGCATTTTTTTTAAATCAACAGAAAATTGGAAGAATAACTCAAGCCTAAAATTAAAGACTGTGGCCGTTATGAGGTCTCACGCTTGCGGTTTTGAGAAAAAGTACCCCAAAAATGGCCGCATATTCGTCATCGTGAGAAAGGTTAATTTAATTAATTAAATTATTTTTCGGTGTAATTGCGGTGTATCGATTATTTTTCGAAATTGATATATCTAGGTACAGGGTGTATACTAAAACAATTAGACAACTCGCCTTCGTTGACTATTCGCTCATAGACAACTCGGACTCGTTGTCTAATTGTTAAATATTCTTCATTTCATCGAGACCTCCCCACAATATAACTACAAAAAATGTGGTTAATAGTTGTTTAAAGGTTTTGTTTTTGTTTCAGGCCGTGTTCGAAAATGGTTCCCCGTTGATTCGGCAACAGCGATGTTGAGGGAATGTAAACCGTTTCAAGCTAGTTATCTTGACAAAGCTGTAACGACCAGGTGACAGGTGAGTTCAGTCAACGGCAATACACTCTACGGTGATGGAGAATGGTTCGTTAGAGGCCCGTTTAGGCTAAACGGCAGATTGATAGAAAATATTAATCAAGTTTGAAAGTATTAATCAAGTGCACGTTACCAATTTGATTGCATGTGTGGCCGGCCCTCTACTGAGCCATTCCATGCTTTTAAATGATACGTCCTAAGTGAGTGTAAGTGCATGTGTATAAATAGTGATACTAGAGTATTTACAAATCCGAGTATTCATAACTAATTTGCCCTTCACACCCATGCATCAGTGGAAGAAAATCCCAAAAAAGTCGTAACAAACTGTGAACTTCAAAAGTAATTTTATGTGCTCTTCAATATAGCTCCATGACTACAAACTACGAATTTAAAATATTCCAATTAATATATTCAAATCCTTCTGCCAATCGTTTTAGAATTTGTCTCCAACGTCCTTCCTGGGAAGGAGAACGTGACGTGTGAATGTGCGTGCGTGTGGAGAATTCGTGCAATTCTATGCAAGATCACTGTTTGTATATATACGTCTGTAAGACGAGATTTCTGGAGATTTCGGGAGATTTCTCAAGTGTGCACCAAGATTTTTGATGTACGCGCGGCTCTTAAAAACTAGTATAACTGTATATTTTATATTTATTGCAGAGTGGCTCAAATAAATTTTTTTATTGTTATCCGGTATCTTTGACTTGCATGCCATAAAAAACTCACTATTCAAGCGGGCAAAATTTTGCTGCCACCATTTGTCAAAAAATATTCACAGACTGTACAAATATGAATAGGCCTCTGATCTCATTGATCATGCACTGACATATGCAGTCAGCAATGTATTGTTGTTGGCCGGTGGTTATGCAAAATCCATAAACATTGGCAATATTTCCCAGAATGTGTTCATTTCATATTTTCGAATATTTTAAGTTTAAATCGACCCTAAAATTTGTAGGACAGGAACACGACGACGACGGCTATCAATACAATGGATGATGCATTAAAAAGAAAAGAATAATTAATAAGGACCTAAGGGAGTTTTAGTCGTCATCATCGTTCTATTTACAACGGAAAACATCGTTTGATAAAATATATACAATATGCCATAGCATTTATTTGCTATAGCATTTATTTAAAGGAGTATTTCAGCCGCGTCGACGTCGTGTTGCCGTCCTACATGTTTAAGGTCCCTAAGGCTAATTCTCAGACACACACCCCTGCATCGGATCATATAGCTCAGTGAGAATAAAAAAGGACATCGTAGTTGCGTGTCGATAAGAATGAATTGCGACCGGTTTCAAAAGGAATAACAAATGATATAATTGATTGCATACTCTAGAATGATTTTTATTTCGATAGCGCTGATTGGTTAAAATATAAACGCGAGATCACCGGCTAATTTTACATAAGATTTGTCTGTTCCAAGCGTTCACTGACTGGTCGACATACTAAAGAATAAGATGTAGGCGAAATAGAAAATAAAAAGGGAATGATATAATAATTTCAATTAATAGCGAAATTGTACTTACAAAAACGAAATTTCATTACCCTATTGCTTACATGCATGAATGCTTTTGGATGGCGTATAAATAACACAAACTAATGAAATTTCGATCGAAAAAGTCGATCGAAAAACACGGCAAAGAATCTTCATTTTCAATATCGCTGGAATTTTAGTGGAATTACCGGAGTGTGTATGGGTCGTATGACTAGGTGAATTAAGAGACCTCAAGATACACCAAATCTACAAATCTACGTGAAGTAACACTGTGGATCGATATTTCACAATTTCAGAAGGAATGAAAATCGTATAGACCCCCAAATTTAGTAAACCAGGTCAGGGGCCGGTTCTTCGAAAGACGTTAAATGGTGGATAAGCCAAAGTGTAAAAATACTCTTTTACATCTTGTGATTGACTGAGACTACATCTTATGTATTAAATATGTTCTTTCATTTAAAATTAAACTATTTACATCAAAAATTTTCAGCCCAGTTGTTCAAATGGTATAATTTTGTTTTCCATTTTGAACTTAACCACCGTTTAAGTTAAACGCCTTTCGAGCAACCGGCCGTATGTATAAAGCTAATTAAAAATGGGTTTAATTTCTAACGCTAGCGGCTAATTCCATGTCACGTCCGCGTCGTGCAGTTGAATTAGTGGATTTGATGTATCTTAACGTAAGACCTTCTAAGTTGTTGTGTAGTTAATTTTATGCCAGAAAAAAACGTGCCGAATCACCAACAGAATCCAACCTATATGCATCTATTCAATCATTGATTTCATAAGTATATCGTTTAAATCGAAGATATTATTATTAGTATTAAATGGTTTTAAACTTTTACGTGCGTGTAGCTACGTAGTACATGGTAGTACGTACAAAAACGCGACAGTCACAACCTCAATTGTGGTGGTGCGAAGTGACCAACTGGGCAACATAGCTTGTCGACTTGCCAATGTTAGCAGACCCTAGCTGGCTAGCTGGTTATAATCATCCTCTCTAAGTAACTTGCTTGCATGCCTATTAAGAGATCGAGGTGCCCTGTCGTTCTGAAAAATATAATTTTCGTGAACAAATTATTTAAATCATTTATTAATATGGAATAAATTAAGTAATTAAAAATGTCTAAAATTATACCTATTACTATCATGTATGTGTGTGTATCAGCTAAGTTTCACAGCTGACATGATTTTGTTTGAAACTAAGATTATTTCTGTATTTGCATGCAGAGTTAAAATTCGTCGCTTTCTTTGTCTCTTCTGTTCTTTCTTGATCTTTCAAGTCCAACGGCTAAGAGAAATTTAAAAAATGTAAAAAAGTTACTTTGATGTAAGAGAACGTGACTTTGATATTTTTAAATCAATTAAAATTTTGTGGTGCATTACTCAATGTGGGGTATATTCTAAAAATCTAAGGGTCTCTATATCGAATGTAAATCATACACAACGCAAATTCAAACCAGGAACAGTTGAAACAACCATCCGTCCGCCGGTAGGAACCGAACCTAAGTTTTGCGATGCCTGACTGAGTGAAATGCTCAATTCGAATGCTCTTGCCACAACTGGCTTGAATTTTATTTCGGTTAAATACGTTGGTACTACAGATAAGAAGGCGGCTCTTACTTCTTGCCCACTCCTTGGCTAAATCTTCTTTCTTGAACCCCAGCACCCGATCCTGACCAGTCAACTCATCTTCGCGCAGCACGTTCACGGGCTGTAAAAATGATCTGATTTTCTCCATTCTTTGTAAATCCTTGTCGGTGACTCCGAACAATTTTCTTGCATGTTCCTGGTAAGGGGGTAATTTCACTCTCGGCATGTCTTCTATTTGTTTCTTCGAGAATGCTGGAGAGAAAAAATCAAAACTCCAGTTATGGATCCCTTTGTTAGGTTTCCCATCCAGGGCTGGTAATATTGGAATTGACAATGCGTTATGCATAGGCGCTTACTTTAAAAAAAAAATTACAGACTTATGCTAGAATAGGTCAGTGGTCATAACTCATAAGACACCTACGTGCCACGAAATTAGTCCCACTAATAAATCATCCATTGCCCCAACCTCGTACCCAAGGCATTTTGCCTCCATCTTCGGACGTCGTCCCAATGTGGAGGCAAAATGCCCTGGGTACGAGGTTGCTATTGCCACCTATGTATGTATCCCTGTAAGACCAATAGGAAAAAAACATTCTTCTATCAAGGGTCAAAGTTTTCTCTAAGGAACTATGCAGGCGTTATATTTTCAGTTCATTTCATTTTTGGGAAAACTTTGTTCTAAGGCGGAATAAATTTTGAGAACATTTTACAGAAATCTGACCGGCAAAATGCATGGCTTACAAATTTTTTGAACTGTGTTTGAAAATCTGGCGGTTAAAGTCCCGTTTATACTGCACTCAATTTATCGGTACGACACGGCTAAAATGGGTGCCGGTACCAATCTCATCCTTGTAGTCTGCCTCTAATAGCACTGAACTCCAATGAAAATGGGTGCGAGTACCAATTTTAGCCGTGCCGTGTAATTTTCCCCCCTCAAAATGATGAGGCAGCCTTCAAAATTGATTTTTTCTTCTTCCTCCAAAATTTCTTTCTACAAACACTGGATGAGGGATCTTGCCCCTTTATTCAGACTGCTCACTTTCCTAGTCCTAGCTTTAAATTCTTTAATGCTTCAAGAACTTACCCAAAAGGGTCTGGTAGATTTCGTCGTCAGGATCACGATACTTCACGCACACACAATCGGGTTGTTTGCTGAGGTCCAAAAGATCTTTCGACAAGTAACTCGAGGCGGGCATCGCGACGGTTTGCGATGTGAAATGCTCGTTCTTCGTGTGTTCCGAACCTTGCCTCTGCCAATCTGACCAAAGTTTGTCCACAAAAGCATGGTGAAGGAAGAACTCCGGGGATGATGCGGAATCTTCGGTACACATTTGTCCGCCAATCGCGCAATGCACAGCATCGTGGAATTCTCGATGCAAGAAATATTCAAAATCTTCGAAACTGGTTGCGTTCGAAAATTCCAGCAGTGCTTCCATGATGGCGATGCAATCGGGAAAACGGCCGTTAAAATTCCTCTTCAAGCAGCCTCCACCAGCACTCTCAATAACTGACCATACCTATATTCATACAGTACATGCTATTTTAGTGGGTTTCTGTTTGCCATGGTGGTTTTTCCGTTAGGAAAATTCAAAGAGAAGTTAAGAAAGAATATGTTTGAGCAATATTACAATCTAGCAGTACAATTAAAAAACGTTTTATTATATAATAATATGCAGTGTTTTATTGCGCCATATTCATGATAGTAACACATGTGCGATTATCGTGTTTGATCCGCCGATCTGGAATCATGAAGAGGGATAAAAAACTTTTCAAAAAAAAAACAGAATAAAATATAATAATCATTAATCGAAATAAATTCCGTATTTCCGCTCATCCATGTATTATACTCTAGATAATATGTGGTTACAATTTTTCGCTCTAAAGAATTAAATAATAGAAGCTAAGCTCGATTGTTCGTGTCATTTTTTTAATGCGGTACGACAAACGGCGGTTCAAACGAGTGTTCATAGGGGTGATTCGTGGAGGGTTGGGATATACAATTTATGCAAGGTTTCTAAGTTAAAGAAATATTTTAAATCGTTCTGTTTTACACTTATATACAACGAAAAGTTGGCCGAGTCGAGTTCTTGTCAGATGTCCCAGAGCGGACCATGCTTGAGGATTTTTAAAGAGATTCCATTATATACTGTATAGCTGACTATTTTAGGATTTTCGTGTAACTGTAAGTGGTACGAACCACCTTAACAGCATCTCCGTACTAATGGAAATTGTGGTAGTGGTGCGTTTGGGCCTATTTCCAGAAAGGAAAATTATCAGTATGGTTTCCTTTGTGCCTAAGACAATTAGTTTTGGTTGCGAACACATAAATAAAAGAAACCTTTCTGTCAGATCCGGTCCGGAGGAAAATTTACTATACTGAGCCTTTACTATATTCTTTTGCTATGACAGGCCTAGATGAATGAAAAAAAAATAATCCACGTACTTCGGCCCTAAATGGTCCATCTTGAACGCAATTCGATGACCCAGTACCATTTCCACCAAAGCCATGATCATCTTTGTTCCACAAATCGCTTGCCAACGCATTATTCGCCTCCTCAGCCGACTCCCAATACGGAACTGTGACGGAGCAATCGATTTCGCGCAGCATATTTTCGTACTCCAGAATGAACCAACGATGCCACGGAAGGAAGTAAGTGGGCTGGTGGATGCCTGAAGTAAAGATGGTCTTGTGTATCGTCAAAAGGGTTTCGTATCGTTTCTTGTACAACGGATCCTTCGAGGCAGTCTTTACGACTTCTATGTATCGTGTTCGCTCGGCGTCGCTCATTTCCGTGAACTGTACTCGTATTCGACAACAATCGACGAGCTTCCCGCTAATGCATTTGCAACGCCTTCGACACTGATCGTAAATAATTTCTCCCGTTTGGCATTGTGCTGGTATCTCTAGGATTTGAAACAAACAAAAATTGCGAGAATATCTATCATTATATACATGTTTATGTTTCATTCTAACTTCCAATTTGCTTATTCTAACTTGTGCGACCCACCCTAAAGATTTTGCGGGCCTTGAGTCTCTTGAAGAGCCGCAATTTTCCGGGGAAAACTGAACGTCAGGAATAAAATACTTATTTTATGTAATTCTGTAGTCTGTACCACTCAAATGCAATAACGTATTGTCATGCCGAAGCACGAGTACAAAGTCGTCGTATACAGATTAAATTACTTTCCATGCGTATGAGGGCACAGGTTTTCGATAATTATTAAATATGACATATCATATAACGAGAAGCTTTAAGATCAAATCACGTATAGAATGTTTCATATAGAATATGGTTGACGATTTATTATAATGGAGGTGTTGAGGTAGTAGAAGCAACAACGGACAAGGTTCGGGAAGAACGTGTCTATAACATTGAAGTTTGTTTTTGTTTTCAGTTTGTAAGCTATATATCTTCTGTTGTCTTTATATACTTTTACATGCCGAGCAAAAAACTCAATCGGCACAACAACTGAACAATAAAACGACCCAGAACTACATTAGTGAACTTAAGCAAGTGACGTTTTTGACAACACGTACGTTGACCGGAAGTAAAGTTTTTGTTTTCCACCAATCACAATCCTTGACCCAGTCTTTTGACGTTACTCATGCCGTTTCTGTTGTTAAAAACGTCACTTGCTTAAGTTCACTATTATTTACCAACAACAGTGGATTGATTCCCCTGGGATCGGCCAGCCGCATCTGACGTGTGATTTCCTAAATGATATTTCCTAATTTATGTGTAATTGGCAGAATATTTTGCAATTATTCCGAAATAGTACCATAATTCCAATATGTTTTAATGAGACAATATTATTGTGGGTATTTTGAACGGGTGATCCTTGGGCCTTTCCTCTTCTTTTTCCTATTGTCGCAAAAGGCCCTGGGAACGAGGTTGGGATTGATTCCTAAGGTATTTGGGGTCCTTGGCTGCAAACATGCATGGGACTTGCATAGGGTGAATTTCCCCTTCAGCCAACTTCCCTCCCCAACTTGAGTCAACTTATATTTCTGTACGTCGTTTGAGTCCTGATTACGCTAATCCATACGAATAGCATACGTTGCAGACATTACCTGTCCCCAGTAAATTTCCCAATTCTTTCAAAGCGCTCATGTTCTCCATGTGCATCACATTTGTTTTCGCGTTGATAAACACGATTTGGACACCACGGCGATCAGATAAGTTGTTCCAGTACATTTGCCCATCGACGTTCAACGAATTTTCGGAAAGAACAACGATCATTTTTCGCGCGTTCAGACGGGCGCCGGCACTTGCCTCGAATATTAATTTATTGAAAACGTATTCCAAGCCACTGCTAATCGATGATTTGCCTCTAGTATAACTGTAGGTATAGACAAAATGTTAAAAGCGTCATTTTATTTTTTGAAACGAATAATATATATGTGGTTTTTTTACTATTATAAAGTAATCTTCTATTTCTAAAAGTATATAAGACATGTTTTACGGGGCTTAAAACGTCTCTGCAAGTTGCACTGCAACAATATTTTTGCAAAGAAATTTTGAAATCAGCAATTAAAATCAAATCAGCTGAGGATAAAAGATAAAAAGGTTGCGTTACCGAATTTTCCCTACGGCTTTCGCTGTACATTCTTTGTTGAGGAACTTGTTGAGACCAAATTCTAATTTCACATCCGAGGAAACTGAAACAGCAGCGACGTTTATTCTTGCAGGAAAAACAGGCAGGTGTTCGACCAACTCTCGGATAAATTTCCTTTGACGATAAAAACTACGCGAACCTTTCGGGGAATATTTGTCAATTACGATGACCAGATCAACTTTCGCAGGGTCTATAAATATATTTTTAAATAATAATTATCATTGTACATTATATATTGGATAATCAAAGGCATGACGCCATGTTATCGTGGACAAGCAGCTTGGAATGTGTTATTACAATGTAGCCATGGAAGAAATGTTATATTGCACGCGATATGTTACAAGAGTTTCGATAATTTGTATCGAGTTGCATTTTTCTTGAATACTTGTAAGAAAGTACAATTTTCTACTATTGATTTTCAGACAGAAGCGTGTCTTAAAGTACGCAATAACACGGAAGTCTGAACCTATAATGTGTGGCATATCAAATTTAGCTTCAGGTACTATAGGAGCATAGCTAGGATGACTTAGCCGGTTATATATAGGATCTTAGCTGAAAGGTTTCGTCCATATTGCTCTAAAGGATATAATAATACATTTTATTATATATATAGTAGACAGTAAGATATACAGAAAGATATTTTCCATATATTTACCACTATAATTTCGGGAAACACGTCATCATTTTCCGCCAAAACCACTGTGTTTACACTGCATGCATCTTTAAGGCCTCGTTAAACTCGTTAAACTTAATGGCGAAGTTTGATCGCAAGAGTCACGAACAAAGACGTAAAATCGTTTTGTGATGGGCAGGAAAACAAAAATACTATAGAAAGAAAACGTCTACGATATGAAGGTATTTCTTGAGTTTCTCTCAACCGAAAATGATACCAGGGAAGTCGTTTCGTTTTCGTTTGGATTCGTTTCGAATTATATTGCTTAATTTTTTTTCTTTGTGTTTGACAATATAATAAAAAGAACATTATACGGCGGTTTGATTTGAATATGAATTTTATCTTCTCGTGGTGAAAACAATATTTTACGAATGAACGCCGCGGCGAATGAGAGCTTTCAGATAAAATCCAAATCTTCGCGTCGCCGTATAATAAGGAAGATCCTATGCGTTTAGAAACTTATAGGCATAGCTAAAGCCAAGTATTATATCCTCGAAAGCCTCAGGCCAAAGTCGATAAATAGATTAACTAAAAAGATATAGCGGTTTAATAGCACAACCTATATTTAATTCAAGCATGCATAGATCATGGTCTTAACTCACGAGGCGCCACCAATTTTGATGAGAGAGGCCGGTACACACTCCCGAATGTACACCACTTTTGTCAATTTGTGTTCCAACTAATGAACTATATACTAATTGGCCAGCTAAAAGTTCAATTCCGAAACGATTAAAAGATGTATATAGCGTGCATGCAATAATGTTTCGTGCTGTTTTCAATTAACCAAAACTAATTTTGGGGTTCACGAGCATACACCTCAGCCATAAAAGTATGAACCATTTAGACTGCCATTGTTTTGATGATTACTTTATGACATGAACTATGGCCAAAAATTCTACATGCCAAAAAAATTTTGCTTATAAACATTAAGGGTCATGCAAGATAAAGTTGACGCATGAACCATTATTAATATGCTTTGTTGACATAATAAACTCTCAATAACATGTACAGCACTTGTGCAGTTTTTAAAAATTTGTACAGCTGTTTTTATCATTATAAATGTGCTCATCGTACACGTTGATCGTTATATAGCTAAATGCTGAGAATCAGCTCTTATACATTCTCCGAAGTGCGTTTTTCATACAAATTTGTACTGTGTTCGGGATATTTGCACTGATTTAGTAAATACCTTTTCACAAATTTGTAACGTAAATTTTGTATTGGCTTATTTTACCGCCATGCATGCATGCAAACAATGCAAACACCACATTTTGAAAAACAACATATGTATGCATGCATATCTTGGAATGGCTTTTTGACTATAATTCAAAATGTAATCACATGTATTGTACGGCCTTGAACGATCATCTTGGGAAAGATCTATTGCGATTAGCGAAGCGGTTGATCGTTTTTACCCAGACGCGACGGCGCAAAAGGGTTTGAAACGGTAATTTTCTTAATAAAGGTTTTTTGCACTTGAGAATAGCCACTCTAGACGCATAACTCTTAACAAGTATGCCATCTGCATGGCTGGCTTTAAAAATCTATAGTGTTTACATGCATGCAAAAATGAAGCATTTGCTGAGCAGTTTTACATAAAGTGGGTACCTTCTATCAATGACATGAACTGTTATATATACTAACTTTTCTGCACGTAAAACATAAAAATATGGCTCAATCTTCTTGGCAGTTTGTATTTCAATCCAAATGCTAAAACTCGTCGACTTCTCGCAACGCGTTTTCACACGAACATAATACACAGACGAAAAATTTCAAAAAGTGCTTGTATAATTTCTCAGTAGTAAAAAGTGTTTTTCTGTAGTAAAATCGACGAAGTGCAGAACGTGCAAGCGTGAATGAAAATATATATAAAAAACATTGTCATCAAATGTGACATTGGAACTCACTGTTTAAAATAGCATGACAAAAAAATTCCTGACGTTCAGGCTAAATGTCTTTGTCAGGTCGTTAGGTCTTAGCGTTGATAAGTTTTTTCTACGTTATTTTACTTTTTGACGTTCACCTGCTCGCATGCAGATGTTGTTTTTCTCACAGCACGAAACTACACGCATGAAGTAATCGCAAATGGGTTGCGACAAATCACACAAATGGCATGCATGTGCACGAAGATACATGACGGTTAGACTTTATACATACGGTAGTACATTGAAAGTATAGAATCTTGGAGAACTAACCGATTGAGTAGCGATATATTAGAAATTGGTGAAAATATACTTTCGATTGGTTGAAAAATAGTCCGCCCAGCCTAAACGAATACTTTTGGAGGAAAATTATGCGCCCGCTGCACCGGCGTATTTTACTTTATAATTCGACATAAATGACGCTATACTTCAGTCTATACAATTTTGACTATGTCGCACATATTTTGACGCATTTTCCTTGATTTTTCAGTCATGATATGATCGAAACAAAACGCAAACAAGTAATAGTTGGGAACGGCAATTCATCGCTGATTTATAGTAGTATACGCTCGTTAC